TCTTCTGGTCCTTCAGCCAGCGACTGCTCTGGCTGAGGCAGTGGTCCCAAAGGACAGGCTCTGGGGACCAACCAGATGAGAAAGAGCATCAGGCTCACAGAAATGTCTGTAGGCTTGTTGGAAATTGCGAGTGTCGTAAATACGAATTATAGTTGAGGGAAAGGAAATCGTAAGAATATCCCTGTGAAAATTAACTCAGACGCTCATCTGCTAAAACCTGCAATCATAAGGAGTTTTCTTAATTCTTTTTGATTTTTTTTTTATACCTATAAAATGCATTTCTCATCAAATGCTGCACTCAAAGTCGGATGTTGCCCAGACCTGTCCCAGGCTGACACCTTTTGTATTTTGTCCTGCAGGATACCATGACTTTTCAGGGTCATGGCTGTGCTCCAGCTGGATGTAGGGATTCAGGGACTCTTCTGATGGGGAAAACCTTGCTTCTCGACACCACACTGGGTCCAGGCTTAGACTGCCCATTGATCTCACAGCTCAGGGAGAGCAGGAGAAGCAGCTGCTCCCGAGGGGAAGATGCTGCCTTACTTGGGAGCAGCGGCTGGCGGCTCAGGAGAAGCCAGGAGACCGTTCCTAGCAGGGCAGAGCACTACTGCTCGGCTGACCGGTGGTATCATCCCCTTCCCCGTGTGCTTGGCATCTCTTCCAAGCAATGTACCTCTATATCTGTGCCTAAAAGAGGCTCAACAGAACGCTTTCTGGAAATACCACCTGCTTTCTATTTGCTTGTGTAGCTCATAAAGGCAATCCCACAGGTAACAGGCACATGAGTGCTTTAATTAACCCCTCTTCGCTCTCCTCACTCTTGCAGGCTGCACTTTTACAGCTTAGGGAAACACCTTTTTACGCTTCACAGTTTGCATCATTGGCCTTTGCTCAGTCAGGAGTCAATCCTCAGACATTTTATTTTGGAAGGGGAAAGAAAGATGTTGTCTGCGGGAGCAGAAGAAGGGCTGTTCATACCGAGGGGGCTCAGGGCCAAAGGAACAGCTCATTTCAGAGCCCACCATGGTCCTCATTTCAGGTGCATGTCCTAGACGCTGCCGCAGCGGCACAGATCAAGGAGACAGAGCAAACGTGGCAAGGAAGCGTGAAAGTGAATCCACCTGCTCCGGCACCAGCTTCCTAGGAAGAGTGTGGGTCGGGTGGCCAGAGGCTGTTTGCTCTATGTGATGCTAAGAAAAACTATTTAGACCCGGTGTAACTCCTATCTAAGCCAATGTGTGTGTTCCCTCTGATGTCAATGGGGCTGTCTTTGAGCCTAACAGGAGTCTTACGTATGTGTATGCATGTCTATGCATATACTCTATATATATATATAAAAGTATACGTATGTATATCCACTGTATATAAACATACAGTGGATCTTACCACATTGCAGGTATTTTGCCTGTTTTGCAGGACCTTAGTTGCCATTTTTGTGTTCTTTCCAACTGGGAAACGGAAGGAGCAGAACAAAGCCTGTATTTTTACTGCTGGCACATTTGCTTGTGAGCTTCAAGTATCAGGCTTTCTCAGCGAGAGAATTGTACCTGTTAAATGGAGTTGGAGTCTAGCGATAAGCACATTTGCACAAGTGATTCTCATGGATGTGTGCTCGAGGTCAGAGTTTGGGGACCCTGTGGCGCAAAGAAGAGGCGGCTTTGTCACCTCCCCTGTGTGTCACTACTTGTTCAATACAGCCTCGTCCTACTAGTTTCAAGGAATGGCTTGTCCTGCATTTTCTGTTCGCAGTCTCTTGTTGTGGAACTGGATTTATTTGCCCTGTGGCTGATCTCTCTTGCTCTACTCCAGTCTGCATTAAGCAATTGCAGAGTCCAGCTTCCAGCTCCTATTCCAAGCAAATCAAAAGTCCTAAATCACCTCCTGATTTCAGAAAAGGTTGTTATGCTCAGTAGCTTGAGTGCTGGGCACAGTGGGCTGCAGATAAAAATGGTTTTATCTGTAATGTTTTTTTAACAGCAGTCCTCAATACAGAGACTAAAGTGTGATTTGCAGCACATCTTGAGTGACTCAAAGCTGCATTTATTCCAGAGGACCAAAGCCATGAAGTTTGATTCAGAGCTGACTTTGCATTTTTCTCAAAGTCCAGAGGTGAGGAAAAATAGTTCGAGACTCTGATGTCACCCCAGCAGACAATTTAGCTTCAAACCTAAACCTAGACTTTCCTGAAGTGCCAGATTCCTGACCTGTTTAGAGTTTTTCCATATTAACTACTTCTGCAGTTTAAAAAATAACGTATCCCTCATTCATTTTGCCTCCTGAGGAGTACAGTGAATACACAAAAATGGGTCATAAACCCCAGAGAATTATAACAGACATAAAAGAAGACTACAGGCAGAATTACAAGGAATAGGTTGGGAAGGGCTTTGAGGGGTCGTGTAGCCCTCCCAAGGCAACACTAACCCTACCTGTAGTTTTCCTAGTAGGTGTATCCCACCTTTTCCTAGCCATGCTCCCACAAGAAGGATTCCCAGTTCGCTACAGCGACACTGGAGTAAGAACTGAGCTCGAGCGTGCCAATGTGCTATTTTGCAGCTCGGTGTGGGCAAGGCCCGCCTGTTACCCGCCTCGGAACCAGAAGTCAGGTTCACTCGGAGGAAGCCTGTATTAATCGCGCAGCCTGCCCTCACAGCGAGTTTGGGCTTGCTCAGGGCAGGCACAGTGATCGCTGCTGCTGCAGAAGCCCTTCCAGACGTGCCTGACATTTCCAATAGGACTGGCAGGAGCTCACATGGAGCTGAGCTAATGAAATCTGCTAAGAAGGTGGAGCCCTTCCCCTCCGAGCCACTAAAAGTGCCGGTTGATATTGCTGCATCCTCAGAGCAGCCCCAAGGCTCCAGCTTTCATTCAGGTCTTCACAGTCGCAATGGGTACATTGCTGTAAAGATCTGATGAAGATGCTCAGAAGAGATGCAACGTTCTTGTACAACGACGGACTGCAATGAGCACAGCTAACCATTCCCTGGGTAACCTCTGTTTTGATAGAAGTCACTTATTCTTCATGGTCCTTATTCTAACCATCTCATTAAGCCCCAGCGGTTATGAGGACACTGACCTACAGGATCACTTCTGTGCTTTTTGCTGCTTGCTTTATCCCTAACTCTGACATGGCCAGTCAATATTTTAAAGTTACTGGGGAGGACTAGGTCATGGTCCTGAGCAAAGTTACTCATCCCAGTCTTCCGAAGCCAGGGACTCTGAGCACTACCTGAGCAATGCTGTGTCCACTGCATCTCCCCCTGGGTCAGCCTGGGTCTCTGTTACATCCCTGCCACTGCCCTCTCTTCGTGGGTCCGGTCCCCTGCACCCTGTAACCCCAGCTGTGTGCTCACCACCTTCTTGTATGCCAGCCTTGCTCGGTGTGGTGCGAGCTGCTCCTTGCCAGAGGCATCCTGCGTCTTTGCCTGCAAAGCTGGCCCAAATTCTGCTTGGCCATTCCGGTCCCTGGCGACTTGCTCAGCCCTGGCAGGAGGACGTGTGAGCACCAGGGATGGTCTTTGGGAGCACGGCTGCTGGGAAAGAGAGCACCAGCCCTCTGGATGTGAGCCAAGGGAGGAATTAGCTCCGTCCTCTTCACTCAGGACTCTGCCCTAGCAGGAGAGAGGAGAGAAAGCAAGCACACAGCTAATGCTGTTATGTGAAAGAGCTTCCCCACTGTGCCCAAACCGCCCCGTCAGCCTTGCTCTCCGCATCTTCTTTCAGGGCATGAGTCTGGGAATTGGCTCAGGACGAGTGGTGGAAAACAAAGCAGAAGGTGCTCAAACAGTTTGGGGGGG